GATAAAAATCTATTAGGAAAATGAGCAAATTTAGCAAATAGGCAATTCTCATATGGACACTAAAAATAATAATTATATGAAATTTGCATATATATGGCATAATATCATTTATGAAAAAAATTTTTTAAAAAATCATGAAACTATACCAAATATTTCCCCCTTTCGTGATTCCCCTTTTCCTATGTAAGTAAGCTGCTACCAAGTGGCCGGCTAATCCCCAAGCCCTGAGCTCCTCATTTTCTTTCTTCAAGGCCTTCAGCACACTTAGAAACAACCAACTCTATTATATTTCTTACTGCCACCACTTAATGCTGGCATCTAAAGGTGATAAATTAAATAACTTTTCCCTCTGCATTCCATGGACTACAGTGTACTCTTTACCACTGTAAACAGGGCTTTTAATGCCTTTAATAAGATCAGAGAACCAATTCCAGGTAACCCAGAACCAATTCTGAGAACCCAACCTTAAATTTCTGTTCCTCTGGAACCATTGCCAATAGCTGATTATGCATCATTCAGGGTTCAATCAGAGTAGCAGCAACACACACACACACACACACACACACACGCGCGCGCGCGCGTACATATATGTGTATATATATGTGTGTCACGTATATAATTTTTAAATAGACATTTGACCTTACATGATTATGAGAACTGTTTAAACAGTCTACGAAAGGTTATTTCTTTGGTGTCTGATGCTGGAGCCTGAAGTCATTAGGACAGACAGCTAGGAAGGAATGGTGCATGACAAGTCGGGGAAGCAAGGGCGAACTGAGACCTGCAAGGATGAGCTAGAATTCACAAGGACAAACTGGAACTTATAACAGGCCCTCACCTCCTGCACTCCTCCAACTTGGATGATAGGGGTGAACTGCTGGGGAAGCCAGCACCTTTAGTCACAGAGCTAAACATACACATGTACCTGGCCCAGGAGTTGGAAGAGCTGAAGGAGAAGATCCTGCAAGAGGTAGAACAACATGGCTGCTCCTTCTCTTCTGCCTTCCAAATCTATTGCAAATGTCTCTTGTGGCCCAACCTAACCTGTAACTATCTAAGAAGGAAAATTATGGGAAACTAAGTTCTAGGTTAGCTAAGTTGACAGAAGACAAGTTCACTACATCTGCCATGTTTTAATTTCTTAAGAATGTATTTATGTCTGACTTGTACAATTAAAAACTAATAAAAATGATGTAATTTACTTACATCATTCTACAGGACTTGTGTAACCCTGACATCAATTCAGAAAAGGGTAGTACAAAATAGAAAGCTAAAGACTAATTTTACTTATGAACTAGATGAAAAGAAATGTAAAATGAATCCGGGAATATTTTAAGAAATAATAGATCAGAGTAAGAGTAGTGTGATTTATTATAGGAATGCAGGGATGAGCCATGACATTAACAAATTAAAAAAAACTGATAATCTGTATAGATGCAGAAAAAGCATAGGATAAAATTCTAAACTCATTCATATCAAACTTGATAAAGAGTATATAGCAAACACTTGTAGTAAACTTCATATTCAGTGGTTAAACATTTGAAAGTTTAGCATTTGAATCAGAAACCTGTTAAAAATGTTTGTTAGTATTCTTAACTTTTTATTGGCAGTCTGGCCAAAGCAATGCTGCAATGAAAGAAATGTGTCATAAATTTTGGAAGAAGGATTCAGAGTGTTATTTATAGGCTGTATGATTATTATGAAAATGCAAGAAGATTAACTGGGACCCTATTAGAAGAAATCAGTGAGTTTAATAAAGAAGTCTAGGATTGAGCTACAGCAATAACTGTTCTCCAGCAATAAACAACGCAATAACAAAACTGACACAAACAAAGCTAACTGAGCCTGTGGGGGCAATGTCAAGCATTCTAGTGGCCGGAGACTTTCTCTTTGTTCCTTTTTGGGTGAGAAACGCCTGGTGCCCCAGATGCTGGATGCCTCTTGTTCCAGACTTGTCTGTAAGGAGTCTGGCTCACACCACCTAACACATAAACGCCAAACCTCCTCTGTGCCTCACCCACACGCCTACTCAGAGAAACAGTGCAGAGGCAGTTCGCCCCTGGGGTGCAGCCAGGTTGGGGGGAGTGGGCTCTGGCCGAAAGGCTGTGCAGGGAGAGGGTACAGCCCGAAACCAGCATGTGGAATGAACTGTTCAGGCGCAGCGGCAAATGCATAGCCTTCCAAGAACCCATAGGGCCTGGGCAGTGACTTGGGCTTCTAGCATGGAACCCGGGAGTCCCAATCCAACGTCTGCCAAGGTCCAAGCCACAGCATCCACCAGGCCAGGTGTAAACTCCCAGCAGGTGAGAGGTGTCTAAAATTCGTCCCAGGAGAATATGTAGGCGTCTCTTCAGAATTAAGTCTTCCGCAGACATTTGCTGACCACTTGGGCCGGGTCTGCCTTTTCCACATGTTGTTTTACAGTTCCTGTAGAGTAATGAAGCCTTCTTTTTAAGGGTGGGCCATCTCTGGGTTCCATTTTGCGTGATGCCTCCTTATAGCTAAAACCCCCAAACTGCTAGCATCCAAGAGTTGATGACTCATGATCACATGAGAAAAGAAGCATTAACAATTAATAAAAGATTACTGCCTTATTTATATACTATCATGGCTAATCATTTGTTTTTACTAAGATGAACCGTTATAGTCAAAACCATTAGAGTTTAATAAAAAATGATAATATGTTTGCCTTTCAAAAAAAATTGTAAGTGGAATCCCAGAAGGATCAGAGGGAAGTAGGGAATAAAATATATTTGAAAAAATAATGGCTAAAAAGTTCCAAATTTTGTGGAAATTGTAATCCATAGGGCCAAGGAGTACAATGAATTCCAAGCAGAATAAACACGAAGACACCACGCCAAGAAATATCTTAAAATTGCTGAAAACCAATGATAAAGAGAAAAATCTTAAAGGAATCTAAAGTAAAAGGACACACTATGTAGAATAAAACAAAGACAGAAAAGACTGAACACTTATCAGAAATAATACAAGCCATGGGACAATGGGGTGGCATCTTTAAAGTACTGAAAGGTAAAAAGTCACCCTGGAACCCTAATCCAGCAAAAATATCTTTTAAAAATTAAGGTGAAATAAATATATATATATATTTCAGTCAAACAAAAGCCAAGATCATTTGTTGTTAGCAGACCTACACGACAACATATGTTAAACAAAGTTGTTTAGGTAGAAGGAGAATCGTATATCAGTAGGAAACTGGGATCTACACAAAGGAATAAAAAGCACCAGAAATGCTAAGCATGTGAATAAAAAAAATATTTTATTTCTCAGTTTATTTAAAGATGCTTTCTTTAAAGATAACTGACCATTTAAAGTGGAGAGATGACTCATGATTCCACTAGTTAGAGCGTGGTAATGGTAAGTGAAGCAACCAACGTCAACTTCTTCCTCGTTTTCTCAGTCGGTCTTGTCATTTGTTATAATGTACGTTAGTGTAGATGAGTGCAGAACTATCTAAATGGTTTTGGGTGGCCCAGGTAAGGCACACAGGAATGCATAATCCATTCCATATACAAAATAATACAGCAACTTTTTAATAGTCTTTGTTATATAAAATACTCAGTGGACCACAAGCAATTTGTATCCTGCTAGAAGAATCCCACAGTCTCACAGCGCTTAGCTGAGAGTTCTCCCCGTAAGCTCACTTTTAGTAATATATTTATGAAATTTACACTCAAATCATCTAAGTTTTGTAAGCCAAACCCCAAATCTGCATTGCTCTTTCTATTAAATGTTAATTCCACTAGGTGGAGGCATTTGCTCAGTTTTGTGATTCACACTAAGGACGCTAGGGATAACAAATGTAGTAAGCAGGAGAACAAATCAGAAAGAAGGCAAATAGCCCCCCAAGGCCTGGTGCTTTGCATGGTATCAGCTTGGCAAATGTATCCACATTGCTACACAGGGTTCAGCATTTGCTTTTAATGTTTAGCAAAGGAAAGTAGCAAGTTTTCTAGGTTGGTAGTGTCTGAAGTTTTTGGTTTTGTTCCAATAGTTTGAACTTTAAAATAGCCACTGTCGGTTGAATGGATTATTAACCCTGTATCTTAAGTTTTCTCGTTTAATCCTGTTAGATGGTCCTTGCATTCAAAGGTGACATATTAAGTGAGGGTCTATAACAATAAAATATATGCTGTTTTCACTATATTTCAGATATTTCATATTTAATTAAGATGATAATATAAGGACCGTTATTAATATATACATATTTTTATGTAATACTTTATTCTTTATATTAGTAACTTCATGTAAAATGACAGCTCTTCAAATTATGGGGAAACATTCTTTTCTGAACATGCTGTGCAAGTGACAAAAATGTGTGAGGTAGTTCTTAAAGTAACTGAAATATAAAGGATCTAAAGGATTGTGGGGAAACTTTTTCAATTTGGAGCTTTTTGTGGTCATCTTCTCGGGTTTCTACTTTTCTGCTTTTATTGGTACCAACAGTACATGGAAACAACATCTTTCTCCTTAAATAGGAAATTCATCTGCTCTTTATTTTGTATTTGAAGTTATAATGCTCTGTGTCAGCAGTTAATTGACTTCAACGAAGTAAGTCTGAAATGTTGAACTTTCTGTAAGCAACCCAATTCTCTTTTTGTGCAATTGGTTTTTAAAAAGTCTTTCTTGTATGGGTACTATTGTCTCTAGTTTTATTGTTTTAAAGCTACTCTATTAATTATCTACAGCTGTTCTCATAAATTGATTAAAAACACAACAGACTTTTGTCTTGCAATCCCTTAGAGAAAATTTGGTGAATGATGTTATTTTTTTTTTTATTTTACATCTATGGGAAAAGGATGAAAAATCAGATGTTTATAAAAGTATTGTCAGAAAGAATTCTAATTTTTCATATTTAATAAATCTTGTCTCATTTTTAAATAATAAATTTGATTTTTCTTTTAAAACAATTATTCAGTATATATCAGATAAAATAAGATGTCTCATTCATCCGCAAATCTAACAATTGGTTTTCTCTGTAGGATGAAGGCCTGGCCCGCCAGTTGGTGGAGCTAGGCTACCGAGGGACTGGAGAGGTGGTAAAAAGGGAAGATTTTGAAGCAAGGAAGGCAGCTATAGAGATTGCAAGGTTGGCTGAAAGAACCCAGAAAAAGTAAGTCTCTGTGTTCAAGATCTATATTTGATATTATATTGTAGAGTCTCTGGAAAAATCCAATTTTGTTGGCATTATTGTAATTTAGCAATGCTGCTTGGAGCAGGTAGAACTTGGAATATCCTAAGTGTGTGTTCTCCAGATCAGGAACTGGAGGAACTGTGATATGCTTGCAAGACACTCACATGCATCTCTGAGCTGCTAGCTTAAGAAATATAAATACTAAAATACGGTCATCATACCAATAAAGTCCTGTTAAAAAGTATCTCAATATTATTGGCTTTATGTATTTATATACTAAAAATATGAGTGACTTTTGCCTTAGAATTCTTTGTACTTTTGAGGCCTATAAATCTTTGGCATCATTTATGTTCTCACATTTTTATAGAAATTGATTCATTCAACTCTATTAACAATCACTGGCTTTTGTTAATGTGATTAATATATGGTTATGTGAAATATGAATGTAATAAAATATGTTAAATATATTATGAAAGACCTGTATACCTAAAGTGAACTGTATCAAACTAAGACAATTTGAAAAAGACTTGACAAAATAATCATCTATTTACTTTTTAAAAATGAATGCTAAAGTTATTGGGGCCGGCCCGGTGGTGTAGCGGTTAAGTGCGCGCCCTCTGAACCCCGGGCGCGCACCAGCACACCACTTGTCAAGCCATGCTGTGGCGGTGTCCCATATAAAGTAGAGGAAGATGGGCACGGTTGTTAGCCCAGGGCCAATCTTTCTCAGCAAAGAAGAGGAGGATTGGCATCAGATGTTAGCTCAAAGCTGATCTTCCTCACATACACAAAAAAAAGAATGCTCAAGTTATAAATGTTGGAGAGGATAGTTACTTAGAAATCACTATATTATTATTAGATAACATTTAAAAAAATACCCAGTAATTATGAGTAGAAATCTCCCATGTATTTATTATAAAAAATAATGCTTAGTAGTAGAATGTGAATTGGTTCTGGGAATGTACAATTTTAATTGGTCTTCCTAGTGGTTATCATGTTTCAGAACCATAGAATATTGAAATTTAATATACTGAAATTTGGTAATATATTAGTTTTCTGCCTTAACACATTACTACAAAGTTAGTGGCTTAAAACAATACAGATGTATTTATTCATAGTTCTGTAGGTCAGAAGTCAGGGTACAGTGGCTTAGCTAAGTTCTCTACTCACAAGGTCAAAATCCTGGTGTTGTCTGGGCTGAGTTCTTGTCTGGAGGCTCTAAGGATGAACTGCTTCCACACTCATTCAGGTTGCTGGCCAAAGTTCCTTGTGATTGTAGGTCTGAGGTCCCATTTCCTTGTCAGCTGTCATTTGGGGGACTGGTCTTTGCTCCTACAAGCTGCCCACATTTCTTCTCATACTTTCCATGTGGTCCCCCTCCAGCAAGAGTGGATTGAGATCCTCTCGCCCTTCAAATCTCTCTAACTTACCCTTCTGCAGTGTCTTTCCTGACTCCAGCCAGAGAAAGATCTCTCCTTTTAAGGGCTCATGTGATCACACTGGGTCCATCTAGATTATCCAGGATAATCTCCCTATTTTAGGGTCTATAACCTTCATTACATCTGCAAAGTCCAGTTTGCTGTGTAATATAACACATTTACAGGTTCTAGGGATTAGGGCATGGGCATCCCTGGGGTGGGGCATTCTGCTTACCACAGGTAATTTATATAAAACTTCAATAACTTATTCAACACAGTTGTACTCGACTTCTATTTTTGTAAAATTGAAATAATGCAAAGTACATGTGTACAATGTGATGTGTCTTATATAAAACATCAGAAGAGCCTTCTCTTTCTGTAGGTATCAATAAATGTTTATGAATCAGGAGTAGAAGTAGAGAGATTTTTGTGAGATTTTACGAGGAATTAATGTAAATTCATATTTTATTAGAAGTGTATCCTATTTCATATCAAGAAGAGTTGGTCATATTTAAAGAGTAAATTTCATCCATGTACAGTGCTCATTTCATGTTTGAAGATCAAAGTAGGTATTTACTCTATGCAATAGTCTCTTTAACTGGTCAGAGCTGGAAGTCATCAGGCTACTTCAGTACCAGTCATGGGAGACTAATCCCCACCCCAAGATGCTAGAATTGGAATGCCCTTTCATCTGCAGATCTTCTCAGGCTGCCTTTGTAATGGGATGGGCCCCATATGTTTCCTCTTGCCCCATGTGGGAGTCACTTTGCTCCCTTCTCTGCCAGATCCATTGTAGTGTTATTAGCAGCAGGGCCAGCAGAGAGTGTCCTACAGCCAAATATGTCCTGTGCCTGTATTTGCTGGAGGATCACTTTGGAAATATGCATTGACATCTTACTGCCTGCCAACTAGTGCCAACTTGGAAACACTTGATTCTACTATCAGATTATTTTACATTAACTTCTCTAATGTGCAGGTGAGCAGCTCCAAGTAGATCACAATCCTCTGCTCTCGCAATCATAGAGCGACTATTTCAAGAAGTGCTGGCACCTAAGAGTATGTCACTTACTTAGAATATTTTCATAGGGGAGACAGTCTGGAGAGATGAAAGTTAAAGATATTGGGGGGGTGGTATTTTGGTAGGTATTTTGATAAGAAGAAGGCATAAGGTATGTCAACTTAAAAGGCAAATTTGCCTGTTACTTTATCTCAAAATGAGTTTATTCCGGAATAGCCAAAATAATTGCAATTCAGCATGTGCATGCTATGGCACACCATAGAGAAATCTGGAAAAGAAAGGAAGGGAGGTGCTTTCATAAAGAAAAAGGGGGAGGGCCGGCCCCGTGGCTTAGCGGTTAAGTGCGCGTGCTCCGCTGCTGGCGGCCTGGGTTCGGATCCCGGGCGCGCACCGACTCACTGCTTCTCCGGCCATGCTGAGGCCGTGTCCCACATACAGCAACTAGAAGGATGTGCAGCTATGACATACAACTATCTACTGGGGCTTTGGGGGGGAAAAATAAGTAAATAAATAAATAAAATTATAAAAAAAAAAAAGTGGGGGGAGTAGGGAAGGGCCGTTCTAAATGAAAGTCTGTTGAGGGAAAATACAAATTCAGGGCAGCAATGGCTTCTCGTTGGCTATGCTGCAGTGTTTCTCATCGGCTGGGCTGTTGCCAGGTGGGGACAGAAATTTTCCTTCAGTAGTAAAGTAGTTTTACTTCCTGTGGAAGATGCAAGCCTTCATCTCTTCCTGTTTGTTGCAATTGACCATGTATGATAGGATTTGAGAGCTCTCCCTACAGGCCTCCTGGACTCCAATTTAGTTAAGGTTTCTTTTATTAATTTCCACAGGTAAAAAGAAATATTTTGGGCTTTTATTCAGTCATTCACTTTACAAATACTCATACACAACCATACTGCATTAGGTACTATGCTAGGTGCTAGGGATATGATAGAATGTAAGACTTAACCCCTGCCCTCAAGAAATTTGAGGACTAGGTAAATGAAAGACAATTACATTGCTGGTGGGAATATAAAATGGAAAACAGTTTGGCAGTTGTTCAAAAAGTTAAACATAGAGTTACCATATGACCCAACAATTCTACCCCAAGGTATATATCCAAGGGAACTGAAACCATAGGTCCACTTCAAAACATACACCAATGTTCCTAGCAGCATTATTCATAGCAGCCATAAAGTGAAAACAACCCAAATGTCTATCAACTGATGAATGGGTAAAAAAAATATGGTATATAGATACAATGGAATATTATTCAGCTATAAAAGGAGTGAAGTACTGTTACGTGCTATAACATGGATAAACCTCGAAAACATTAGGCTAAGCAAAAGAAGCCAGACAAAAAGACTACATATTGTATAGTTCCATTTATATAAAATGTCCAGAATAGGTAAATCCATAGAGACAAAAAATAGATTTGTGGTTGCCAAGGGCTGGAAGGAAGGGTGAATGGAGAATGACTGCTAATTCTCTTTTTGGGGTGATAAAATATTATGGAATTCGATATTGATGTTGATTGCGCAACTTTGTAAATATACTGAGAACCGTTGACCTGTGTACCTTAAAAGTTTGAATTTTATGGCATGTGAATTATATCTCAGTAAAAAAGACAATTACAATAGAAGATAATATGTGCTGTGATAGATGCTGTGGTGACACCCTGAACTAGTACTGAGTCAAGATTTGGAGGAGTGTGAAGAACAGGGAAAGCTCTTCTTAAGGCATGACTGCTAAATTTACTCTTAAAGGGTAAGTAGGAGTTAATCAGGCAAAGAGGGGTATGAAGATGGACACATCCACTTTTGTCTCTATGATAAGCTCTCCTTGGCAAATTATTCTCTCTACATCTTTGTCTTAATTTATACCTGTTCCCTTGCTAAGATGTTTTTTCCCTTAAAGCTGTGCCAGCTAGAGGCCATTCATTTCCGCATTTACTGGGGTGGTGTTGTTGGTGAGTGGTTTCTGTGTTCTCCTAGCTCTCTCAACCTTTGCTGCAAAATCATCTCAGCTTCATTATCATGTAAACATTGTCTCTCATCTCTCCTCCACTGAGATTCACGCCAGCTGGGTATAGTAGCCACAAGGCAGAGATTGGAAAGAAGGGATGCCAGTAGTTTAGCTTGTGGTCCTTTTGTCAAGACAGAGTATTCTTTCCCCCAGGGGCTGGCCGTGGTGTTTACTGCAGTAGCTTCCATTATAAGCTCCAGAGAATTTCTATTTATAGTGAGAAGTTCAGTTGATTTCCAGAGGTGATAGAGAGATGGACCTTGACTATTTGCAACACAGGTTGAACATTGAGGTCTAGTTAGTAGTTAGAACTGAGTCATCCCTCAGGCTGAACACTCTCCTAGATGAGCTTGTAAGATCTTCAGAGTCTTTGTTTTGAGTCAGCTTATCTTTTTAGGAAATGAATTAGTCTCTCTTAAAACTACTCCTGGGATAATAACCTTATTTTACTGAAACACAGCATCTGAAACGTAGATAGACGGAATAAGTGATAGCCCCGATGGAGCTGGTAATTGTCCTGGTTTGCTATTGCCACC